GGTGAGAAGGCGGAGCCGAGCAGCCGCGCGAACATCCAGTGGACGAACAGAATGAAGGAGCAGCTGCGCTTCCTGGACCGGATCATCGTGGGACCGGAGCCAGGTAAGAGACAGCAGCCCCCTGCAGACGTTGACTCGAGTATAAGCCGAGTGGGGCGTTTTTCAGCACAAAAAATGTGCTGAAAAACTCGGCTTATACTCGAGTATATACGGTATTTATCTTGTAAGTGCAATTGATCCATTGTTTACTAAATAAATTGTCAATACTGCACTTAGAGGCGCCTTCCTCTCTTTTTCTTGTTACTGCATTAGAGCCTTGTTTTCACTCTAAGAAGAGCTGCCTCAGTGTTACTGCTCCCATCCATCCATACATCCATCCATCCCTGATATCCATCTGGCACCTTTTTCCTACAGCTACAGAGGTTGGGCTCCAACAAACGCGCTCTATATAATATACATAATCTTAAAAAACATTCCCTCCTTCCACCTATCCTGCCTAACCTGTAAAAAAAAAGATCAGTATACTAATTTTATTCCGCTCCCTTCCAGTTATATGTTCCCACAGCTCTGGCTCTCCTGTGTCAGTGAGTGGATGCTGCAGGGGAGAGGCTATTAGAGCCTGTGAGTGAGGTCATGGCTCCTGGAATTCCCAGCTGCTGTCAAACACTCCAAGAGCCAGAGTTGCAGGTTCACTTGACCATACCAGATTAAAAATAGTTAAGTATGCACAGGGAGGAGGGAACATTTTTAAGAATCGTTAGACTTAGGCTTTTCTTCCAGTTACTGATGTGTTATGCCAGTCTGTCCTCAACGTCTGTACTCTCTAAAGCCAATGTTCTTTCTCTGAATTTCTGTAGAACTTATAGTTTAGGGCCACTGCTTTTCCATTCCCCCAATTCGAGTATTAAGCTGATCCACTGAGGAGTAACATTTAGTAATGGCAGATAACACCTCTTTCAAAGTAGGTTCTACTTCTGAATTAGTGGGGCTTGAGCCTGTTCAAGTGGCCATTCACATTGGGGAGCGTATAGGCAAGTGCCTCCTTTTGGGTAATATTTTACCAGGTTCTACTTTACGTGTTGATGTTTGAACTGTCTTTTATGGGTTAATGGTGTATTTTGCTACAGCACTTCATGTGCAGCATTTGTATTTTTTTTTTGCTTCTTCTAGAACCACGCCCACAATAAATGATTGCCCCGCCCCTAATTAAAGTAATTTCCTGCCTGCAGCGGCTTTCTGGACAAATGTTGGCAACTTTGACTGCTGCTCTGCAGGATTGGATGATGTTACCTGGAGACAAAGCCGTCTCCTGCAAACTTCAACCAATCCATGAAAAAGACGTATCCAGGCAATGAGATGCAGCGCAAAGCCATGCAACATCACTTCCTCCCAGCTACCCATTAATTTTGTTTTGGGGAGCTGCAAGTAGCTAAGTCTTGCCTAGGGAGCAAAATAGTCTAGCCCTGGCTGCAGGCTGCCCAGAAGTTAGGAAGGGGTTAAGGCTGCCATCTCCTGGGTGTTCATGGCTTCACCCCCCCTTGTGGCGAGCTATAAATACAAGGGGAGGCAATCTAGCAGGGTCCTGGATTCTTGGACGGAAAAGTGAAAGGAGGACTGCAGCCACATGTAACTGGACTCTATTCCTTGGTGGCTCCCCCTTGGGGGGTATGATTTATGAGGTATAAACTAGGCAGCCTGAAGACAGAAATAACTAGAGTGTGTATGGAGAAATCTATGATATTGCTCTGTATTTATAAGAGTTTCAAGTAAAAATTCTAACGTTCCAATTAAGGCCTTGTCTGAAGTTCCTTGGAAAGGGGTGCATGCATGGTGTACCAAAAGAACACGGCTTAGTATGAGGATTAAGAACAGTGGTGAAGGAGCATTACAATGGTCTAACCTGTGGTGAAGTTGGAGGAAAAGATGCTATATTGCCATTGCTAAGGGTATGCAGTGTGATGTTGGGTGATAAAGCAGCCAGCCAGCTGGAAACTGTGAAGACTTGGCATGTATGACATAGGACCCAGGTAGAGAGGCGGTTTGTGAGCCTAACCCCTCCCCAGCGATCTGTGCCCCACACATCTTTGGACCAATATCTTGGCATGGAGTATCCTATATATCAACCCGGTAGGTCACAGGTAAGGGAGAGAGGATTCTCAGGAGTGCAGGAGCTCAAGAACAAGCAGAGAGTTTATTGCTAAGCTCCAGCAAGAAATTTCAGATTGTCACTGGATGAGAGGTGATATGGTGTGCTGTGCTGGTGGTGTGGGATACAGGCTCCTCAGTGTATCCTCAGAAATGCTGCATCTACTTCGAGAAGTCTGAGTTCAGTTAAGAGAAGTAGCAATCACTGAAACACTGACACTGTATCATACACAAAGAGTTAACTCTACAAGTGGGTGATGCTCGCTTGTAAGTCAGAAGTGTCACCCTAATACTGAATTCAAATGAATGCAGGTGCAGGCAATAGCAAGAGCTGTTTCACAGTGTCCTGAACAGGCGTGTTAAGCCCCACCAAAAACTGTTGTCGCTGGGTTACTTGGATAAGGGTACTTACTGCTTCCCAAGGCCTTCTGGTCTGCCATAGGTCACTCAGCTCCTCAGGAGCTTTTCCTTCATCCGCCGTAGGAGCAGCATGATCTGTTGCAGGAATAATGTCTTTAGCCAGGTTGCTCTAGTCTGGCAGCCACTTTTTTCACCTTCTCTGTCTGCCGACTTTTGTGTGGTTGTGCACATGAAGCAGCGCCATCTTGCTGCTCTGCCTCATCTACTGCTTTCTCTTGTCCATCCCTTGTGAGTCATGGCGGAGGGGGATAGCAGTGCAGAAACAGTTTGTCTCGTAGTTGTAGCATGGCTCCATTAGCTTGAATGGCTAATTTTGACAGGCTGTGACAACTGGTATCTTAACATCCCACATTAAATTTTCTGTGGCCATGCCAAAATCATTGTGGGCACACCACGTGAACAGCCCCCTGTGAGATGGGGAAACAGCTCTCATTGTTTGAACACTGTTTGTGTGGAAGTAAATTAATGTTTTGACTGACATTCTGCTGTTTAGCCACAAGATGTCACTGTTTTTCGAACACAGGCTCAGACTGCATAGATATTTGTATATTCATGAAGAGGTGGGGTTTTGCACTCAGATTTGGAGTTTAGTGAACAGGAAGAGGAGACTGCAGCCATGTTTTGGACGATGAAGGGGCCGTGTGAGCTGATGAGATTGCTGCCAGGAAGCTGATGAAATTGCTGCCAGGAATGCTAATGAGACCAGAGGAACTAAGCAACATATACGGCAAGACCGCATGCTTGTTGGAGAGACATTTGTTCTGTTCAGAGTCATCAGCAGATGCAAAGCAGACCCGGGTCGGTAAGATCGTGCACGCACCTCATTTCAGTGTTGGTGCCTTGAGACTGAGTCCAGGCCTATAGTTAGTTAGTTAGGGTCTCTGTTTGTGTCAGGCCACAAGTGTTGTTACTGATTATTGGAAGGACTCCACAACTTAAAGTGACATTTCACATTGGAGAGCTGATAAAATCCTACAAACTCAAGCCAAACTGGCGTTTTGCTCAGAAGGAATACTCAGGCATGTGCTACAGGACCAGTTATGGGAGAGGGAATACAGTAGATTTGTGTAAGATTGTAAGCTGTTGTGCTGCACCGCAGGCTAGCCCATACCGTACACCCATACACTGATTCCTGCTCTTTTAGGGTAATACCAGGTAAGGTGTGGCAGCTTATTTGTGCCCGCCAGTAGGTAAATTACTACACCTTCTACCTTCATCATCAGAAGGCGCTGTGCTGTGCAGCACAAGGGTCTCAGCCTTTTGGCTGGGTGTATGTAAATTTATTGTATGTTTCCAGCATTTGTGGTTGTGTTTATTTGCCACATCTAAGTACAATTATGCTGTGGCAAAAGCTGGTGTTCTGGTTGATTTCCTCGTTCGTGACTTCACTGTATCCTGGGGAGCCCACCCCAGTACACAGCTTATACCCCCTCAAGCTGTATTGTAGGCTTGGGAGGGGCAGTCAGGAGAAAACAAATAATACCTCAGCTCAGGCCATCTGTTTTTACTGCCCCTCAGCCACTTGTATGAAAAAAGCCTTAATGAGTATAGAGGTTAATGTGGGCACTTCCAAAAAATATTGTAGCCAGAAATTCTGCTTCAGTATACTGTATTAGAAGAACATTACCTTTATTTGTTACTTTCTGATGTAAGTTGACTAGTGGAACAATTCCCTTCTTCAGCCACAAGAGATGTTGAGCATATTACTCTCTGGGTTCACAGTTCAGAGTGCTGTGAATGTTGGGAGATGTAGTCTGGGCCACAACAGTGACAGTGTAATAGCTAGGATTTTGAACTACAGGCCTCAATAGCAGGTAGCAGGTGGAGCTTCTAAATGGGCAAATATGGAAAAACCTGGGAAAGAACCAGCGCCGGATGGTCGTTTGAGTAGCTCTTCCTGTGAAGTTGCGGAGTCAAAGATTGGGAGACCCTGCAACATTCCACCTGCTCTATGGGTGAGAACTGGGCGCTTGCTACTTCGCTCCGGTTCAACTATGCCATCCTACAGGTGGGCACGAGTAAGTGCATCCAGCACACTCCATCAACTCAGCTCCACTGTCCATTAAAGCATTACTAAACCCACAACAGTAAAATCAGTCTGTATATGCAGTAAAGCATGATTGTTAAACTCACTATGGAACCTAAGGGGTAATCCTCTGCATTGTGTAAAAAGGATGTTTGATCCTGTCTTCTCTGATCCTCTCCTTCTTCTACTGTCTCCAATCCATCTTCTGATAGAAGAGAGTGTTGGGGGCAAGCTGCACATGCTCAGTTTGCTGTGTATTGCTAGAGAGGGCCAATCAGCACTGTCCAGACAGAGGGTCAAGGGTCATGCAGCCTCATAGGAAACTCAGGGGAGAATGAAAACTCCTCCTTCAAGCTTTACCAGTGCTCAGCTGGACAGTGATAGAAGTCACAAGACTTCTCTAACTAATGATAACAAAAGGTATTAGCAGTTTATATTTACTAAAATAATTGCATTTCCATGTTCTGTGTACTGTGGAAAACCAGATATAGTGAATACAGCGTCCTGGGTTTAGTAACACTTTAAATGCCATGGGGTGACAGTGCTTTCTACATATCGCATCATCCAGCTTTACAGTTTTTGGGTTGCCACTGAGATATCAACACCCGTCCCACATCGTGATCATCACGCTCTACTGTCTGTCAGGAAGATCAGAACCCGTTAATCTGAACCAGAGAGCTGATAAGTCTCTGACCCACCTTTGTTCTGTTATCAGGAAGAGACATACTGTACTGTATCCAGAGTCTACTTTTATCTACCCATTCTCCAACTCAGATTAAAATTCCCAGTGTCCTTATCAGACCCTGTTTGGCTGTTCTGCCACTCTGCACACTGAATTGCAGTTTATAATTACCCATCTTACTGTATTCAGATTTAACAGACATTCTCTAGCGTGCCAACATTATTAAAGGCACCAAAACTAGCTGGCAAAAGATTATTCCTAAGGACTGAGACTTAGTTAATTTCCTCCCTCAATTACTGGAGCTGTTGATCATTCACAAATAGTTAGTGCTAACAGTGTTCCTCAGTTGATCTAAGTGTAAGCCACCACCAGTGCACCCTGGCAGCATGGCCCCTTTTATTGGTATTACCACCTTTCTGATGCATGCTGTCACACTTCAGGTGGGGGTGCTATTGTGTATTCTGACCTAGAATAGGTCTGACATTTTATATCTGCATATCTCTTGTAGAATGAGTTTTGCTTTGATTGTGTACTTTACACTGCTGATGAAATTGTCATTCCTGATTCATCTTTACTAAGTGATAATATACTCAGTGGTTCTGTTAAAATCGACTTGTGTTTAATTTTAAGGTTTAACCTGGAGTCTCTGAGGGGCTTATGCCTTGATGGGGTCAAGGCAGGAACAGAGTACCCAAACTTACAGCAGCTCCTGCGGGAGTAGCGCTACAGTATTACATTGCTGTAACCCAGAAGCATCCTTCTGTTCAATAAGCCCAACAATACACCAAAACAGAATCTTGTACATCTAAAAGACCTAACACCCAAATTCAAGCAAAGTAACTTGGTATATGCAGTGCAGTGTAGAGAGGAATGCAAAAATCTGTGCATTGGGGAGACAAAACAACCTCTTCACAAACAAATGGATCCTTCTGAGTCTTTTCAACATGCCAGTTACATATGGGATGACTATATTACTCTGTGTGTTCTGCTTCTCATTGTTGATTGGAACCAAGGTAAAATGATGCACATGTATTTTTTTAAGCAATTGGGTTGGTTATAAAATTTGTAAGCAATTTATTTACTTATTTATTTTTACTTTTTATGCATGAAAAACGAATGGTGAAAAATGCAAAATTAGGAAAGTGTGCTGAAAAGGATTTCAGTTTATATGTCTGGCTTTAAATTATGCTGTTTATGGATATATTAAGATCTCAGCAGAACTAAATAAGCAAATATATATTTCCTTCAAAAGGGCCAGTTGGTTTATTATAATTTTTCTAGCACTGTCGCCACATTTACCTGTGAAATGCTAGTGAACGGCAGTAGAAAGATAGGGGTGGGAGTAAGTGAAAGGAGAGGGGCAGGGCCTAATTTACCTTGAATATAATTCAAGAGCCTACATACATCCTAGGCATAAGATCCAAAGGGGCTTTATAAGCACATAGGAATTAATTTTAATACTAGAACAGGCATTTTTGCCTGCACTTCAGCACCGTGGTTAGCCTGGGCCACTTTTCAGATCAGGTCAGATTCATTTTCAGGATTCAGTACCAAAGTATGAGACAGTCAGGGGAATTCAATAAGGCAGTAAAGTCACTTTTCTGGCAGTATGGCCTCTTTAATATGGCCTGTACCTAATTCACGAAAGCCTTGCACCAGTTTTGGTACAAGTACCAACACATGCACCGTGATCAGGTAGCTCCTACTGCCATTTTTAGATTCTGTCACAATGGCTGGGATAGATTATAAAAGAATAACTGTCAGTTAACAGGTAAGCTAACTAGCAGTAATTATTACTCTATTAATATGTTTGTGCATTACATTTACAGCATTGGTTGCTAGGACGAAGGCTGCCTGCATCTTAGTAACTGTTGAGGCAAGTCACCCAGAACTGACAATGGGTGGAACCTGTAGGCAGACTACACAACACCATACATGTGACCGACCAGCATATGCAGTGGTGCAGTCTCTCAAACTGACAGAGCTTCAGGGATTTGATTGGTTCCTTCACCACACTCACCCCTTGTCCTTGTGCATGGATGCAGGCCATAGACCACACTCTCTCCCTCTCATCCTCCTGGTCACAATCCATTAACCCCCTAAGGCTTGGAGAACTGACTAACACAGGTTTGTGTCTTATTTGTGGTCCAGGTTAAGGTTCTGAGAATCTAACTTAATGTGTTACATGAGGGATCGGGTCACCTGACACATGATACATGAGGGAGGTCTTCTCTCACCGTCAGGTGGGTAATTCAGGGCCCTTAACCATCACTAGCTCTTAACCAACCAAGTTTGCAGAGACATTTCACAGTTTACCTCTCCACCTTCAGTAATGCAGTCTTTTCTCCACTGAGACAGTAATGAGGCAAGGAATTGCTTTGCTTTAACTTTACTGAACTGTTGGTAATAAACAAATTACAATGATCCACAACTTGGCATTTCTTCAGCGTAACATCAATTAGAACAGTCCATAACCCTTACCAATAATGGAGCAATATTATCTTCTTCACATCACAAGACACTGAGTGGTAATTTAATTCTTTTGTCACACTGCACATATTGCTGAGCGGCTATTTATAGTTCAGAGCACACTGCTTCTAGTCTCAATATGCCAGAGGCCTCTACTAGTCCTTCCCTGGCTTCACCTAAGGAACAGCGGACGCCATCCTGCAGTGAGGAATCACACTCTTCTCTCCTCCCACTGCCGACATTCTCCTCCCAAACCTAAAGTGATTCAAATACTGTAGCTTCTGACTTTTAATAAAAGGTCACTCACTTGTCCAGGGGTCCAGCGCCCTGCTAACCCAAACCACTTCTTGCCTGTCTTCATGTCCCTGGTGCTGGCATGTTTACTGAGGGCAGCCATCTGTGATTCCATGTGGCTTTACAGCTGGCTGCCCACTGTGCATGCGGGAGCCTCTGTGCTTTGTGAATGGTCCCAAAGCCTTCTGAAACCTGAGATGTCTCAGAAGGTTGCAGGGGGTGAGAACTTCCAGTAGATCATGTCAGCAATATGAGCGGAAATGGCAGTGGGTACCTGTTAAAACCAGATACCCCGCTCCCCCCTCCAAAAAAGTGCCAAGGAGGGGAGGAGGGCATAAAGTGGAACGTTCCCTTTAGGATGAAGTTCCACTTTAAATAGGCAACAGGTGGAGTCAACTCAGAGGAAATGAGGAAATGACCAAACAGGGAGTGCCCCCCAAAAAAACAAACAAAAAAAGGAACTCAAAATCCACCCCTGCCTATAAGCCTGTGAGAGATTATTTCTCTATCAGGTCCGCTGATTGACAGTAGATGGCAGTGGGCGAATCCAAAGCCGCTATTTAGTCCTGTCAATTACAGGCAAGGCAGATCTGATAGGGAACTAGTCTCAGAGTTTCCCATCAGGCTCGACCCACCCAACAGGTGCATCAGCTTAAATTTGTGACGTGGGGAGGGCTGAGCCTAATGGGGATTTCAGACTAGTTGATATCGGTTTGCTTTGCCTGTGATTGAGAGGACTGAATAGTGGCTATGGAGCCACCCACTGACACCCACTGTCAATCACAGGCAAACCACAGTCAGGACCAGCAGTCAAAAATTTGAGCTGTAAGGTGAGTGGAGCATGGGTGGGAATGGGAACTCTGAGACTAGTTGGCCATCAGGTCCACTTTGCCTGTGAATGACAGGACTGAATAGTGCCTCTGGATCCTCCCACTACATCTGCTGTCAGTCTCTGAGATGGAACTAGTCTAACAGTTCTCCATCAGACTCCTCCCACCTCTAGTTTAAAACTCCTCATCCATGATCCTGTTAGTGTGATGATGCAGAGGCTGGGGAGGGCAGGAGTCCAGTATAGACCCCCATTTACCCAGTACAAGATGGGGGGCTTTTGGTTTCATAGGTCCACCTCACCATAATCTGACTCATACACAGTGTAGGCACAAAAGATGAGGAAAATCCCTCATGGGCTGAGTTATCAGCTTGTCACCCTGATCTGTTATTCAAACTGGGTATTTATCAACAGCCAGCTTTGGAACAGCATCAGCATATTAAAAAAACGATTCACGCTCTGGATTCTATTATGGAATAATTTGTCAGATCATATTACAGTTATTGCTGTAGAGGTGTGGACTGCAGAATATATGACAGTCATATCCTGGAATGTCAATTAGATGGGACAATTAGAACACTGACAGTAAAATACAGTATTCATTGAACGCAAGTTCCTTCCCTCATTCAACATGATATGAAAACAACAAGACTGTACAGAGGGCAACAAAAGCCCCTGAACCCGGAAATGCTCATCTTATTTAACAAAAAAGCATTTTACACTGCAAATCCTTCATTAACTAGACAATGCATGCCTAACATTGTACAGCCTATTAATACAATAGCTGATGTTAATTTATACCTTCTTAAGATGTATAGCTTCATGCGCTACCCTTGCACATTTTGTTCTAATTATCTTTGTTGGTATAATTTTATATTAACAGCTAAATATATTTATATTGCAAACCAAAAAAAAAAAGTACACCGAACATCCACACGTCCTTTAGTCAGCTGCGCTGATGTGCCATTCTGAACAAATTGCAATGCATTGTAGTAACATGCACATTATTTTGCACATTAATGCAACACAATATTGTTAATGGGCTTTTAGTGTTTATATGCAACCTACTTCAGCCCTCACATTAACAGCATAATACAAAGCTTGAGCAAGGGTTTAACCATGTAGACCTACCCTTAGGGATACATTTACAAAAAAAAACCCACAAAAAATGTATATTTATAAAACATAGCAACCTAATTCACAAACTTGCTCAACAGTTGGG